TTTTACATGTGTGTGTTTGTGTGTGTGCGACAGAGTAAAACAAATAAATTCTAGTTTCGTTTTTATGCCGACCACAAATCGCCCCAAACATAAAATTTTTTGCATATTACAAACGCGCACTGAAACCAAGCGCAAAATGCATCTAAGCAATTCGAGCGAAAATATATTCCGCAAATATTATATGTTATTAAATTATTATTTTTAATATTGTTCAAGCAAAACGCGCGCAGTCGACCGAAGCGTGAATATTAAATGAAATATTTGGCCAAAGCAAACAAATGATTAAATGCAAAATAGTTGCATTTATGGCTCACGTTTAAAGGTCTTGCTCACACCCAACTCGAAACGTTTGACACTCTGATAATCCCAATAGATGACGAAGGGAAATGGCGAACTTCTAAACATCAATCAATCCTTAGCTCTTAATTTCCTTTTGTTTTGTTAGCCATAAATTGTGTTTAGCAGGTTTCAATCGCATGATAAAACAATGTAATAGAAAGTCTATTTGTGGGAAATTAGAATCGAATATATGAAACTTTTCTCATAGGCAATACCTGACTGGAAGAGGCATGTGTAGCATTTATATACACATCAAAATTATACAGTGAGAGTTGTATAAAAAAATATTTACCATAATTTAAATATTATTTATATAGCAAGATTTATTTGCTGAGCAAGAAGTAGATTTTTTTTTTAGATATTATCATTGACATATAGAATATAATAGCTTAAAAATAAATACAATTCTTTTTCTTTTTGTAATATTACTTTTTAGTATTTTTATATAATTATAAAAATTAAATGATGCATATTTAATATGAGCTGTACTTGATAATTGTAAAAAGTAGTATCTCTACAATAGATTTGGATAGATTTGACTAAACTAGTTAGACTAGACTAGTTAGGCATGGATAAACTTGAAATGACTGAGCTTCACTTGGCAGGAGTAGACTAGGCAATGCCTGGTCTAGACTGGACTGAACGAGACTAGGCGGGGATATATTAAATTAGACTAGACTAAGCTTGACTAAATCTGCCGTTAGGCTATACTAGAATTAACTTAATACCCAGAGAAGCGTCTTTCATCTGCCCTCTGTTTAAACAGCTCTCTCACTAGCTGAAAACAGTTCAACATAAATTGCTCCTTTCTAGACAACTATCGGACTAACTTACAGCACCTGAATAACTGCTTGAATTATTCTACTCTCATGCTAAGACTCACTGGAACAAACTTTAACAAGTTCATCTGCAAGAGAGAAAAGAGAAAGCCTTTCTTTCCATTTCTTTGCTTGCCTATTGTCCATCTTAAAGGCTGCCTAGTTTCAATTCGCTTCCATTATGCTGCTGCTTGGAGTGGCTTTAATGAATTGCGAACTGTTTTAGCCTAATGTTGCCTTTTACGACGATGACGGCGTTGGCCGTGTGTAGTCGATTGGCTTACGCTAGCCCAGTTTTTTATACGCCAACATTTATATTAATAGACGCTGGCAGACGACGGGGCACAGCGTGGGGCAGCTGATCCTTATTGGCCCGGAAGGCCAGACGGCAGACGCGACGTTCAGCCTGGAACTGAGGGACATTCGAGCTGCTCCTAATGTTGCCTTATTATATGGATTGCCCGACAAATGGTCACCCCATGCGGCGCGGAGGCCTGTCCTTCTGCTTCGATTTAGGTTCCTTTCGCTTTCTCTTGGTGTAGTTAGCCTCTGTTTGTGGCTTTGCCGCTTTAAATTTGCAAGTCAATTGTGAAAGCCACTCGAGAACTCAAGCAGCGCAGCACTGGCCGGGACCTTTGAGATCGCCAATCAGTTAGCCGCGCCCCCGTCGCCCCCGTCGCCCCCGTCGCACCTGTCGCACATTGCTGTCAGCTGCAAGTGCAGCGCAAATTGTCAGCTCGCAAACAACGCGAGAGGAGAACCGAAAACATTTTGACAGTTCGCTCAAAAAGTTTGCGTTTGTCCAGTTTATAAACAAAACTTGAAGGGAAAGAAGTGATTCCCTAGTTACATTTCGACTAGAGGACTCCACTATAGGGTATATTTGTTTTGGGGACCCCGTGATACCCTGTATATTAAAGCAGTCAGGATTGAGAAACTCAAAGTAAAGCGAATTCATTGTCGCATTTAGTACAGGGTATATCGAAGTCGTGCCTATAACTAGTCCCCTCTCAGCCCTGCTGCCCACTTGAAGCTGCTGCAAAACTTTACACGCTGCGCAAAGTTAGTGCGAACAAGCAACGGCAGCAGGTAAAAATCTGTTGAAATACTTAAGAGTTTGCAACAACAACCAGAGTTGGCCAAAACACTTAGCAGACAGTAGACAGTTGGCCCAAGACAAAGCCCTCGGAACGAGTTTTAATAACAACTATATATATATATATATATATGTAGAGAGCTTAAGACACTTGAGTTGTGGGTGAAGAATAATAGAGTAGTATATATGGAGATGTAGAAGTTACAACTGTTATATGTAAATGTTAAAAGTATATCGAATGGCTTTAACAGCTTTCTCACTTTCACTCAGCATCGCCCTAGATTACAATCCTCTCTCGCTCTCGCAGAGAGTCTTGGATAGAAATCTGAGCTTAAAAGCGTGAAGCCACGACGAAATCTCACTCGGATAAAGCCTCCACCTCCACGAAAACTCAGTGTAAGCTCTCTGTGTCACACCAACATTACAGTAACAGAGACTGTTAGAATCTGCTGTTAGACTCTACTGTTAAAGTTCTATTTTAGAGTGTTCTGTTACCCGTTGGAGTCTGCTGTCACAGACTCACAGCCTGTGACACTCTGCTGTTGGCCTCTGCTATTGGACTCTGCTGTTAGACTCTGTTTTATGTTATAGTCTGTTACTACACATTGCTTTTATACTCTGTTGTGATATTGTGCTGTTAACTAAACAACATAACGTCATTTAATATAAGTATTTTACATTAAGAATGTATTGCGGTCAACACTCTCTACTGTCATAGACAGTGCTGGAGAACTGTTAAGTAACAAGTGTAAGCAGTAAATGTAAATATATTTAATATATTATGATTTAAAAACGTTTCTGTCTACTTTTTATTTGGCACATTTCCAACAGCTCAGGCAATTCTCGAGAAGATTTTAATGCTCATTTAAATGACAGCATTTGCATATACCAAAAATTCCTATATATTTATTTATATATTGTATTTATATTATTATTCTAAATTATATATTTGCAGGTCACGTTCGTATCGCGGTGATTCCAATTTTAATGCGCTGCTAACGCCGCTCACCTTTCTGGTCACGTACTTCAATTCGGGAGTTAATCCCCTGCTCTACGCCTTCCTCAGTCGCAATTTCCGCAAGGGCATGAAGGAGCTGCTGCTCTGCTCGTGGAAGAAGGGCAAGGGCAAGTCATCCTCGAACTCGTCGATGCATCACAAGCGCAAGGCGTTGCAGGTGTGTGTCTAACTGTGAGCCGGGTGCTTAATAATTTTCCCTGTTTTGGCATCCATTGACGCATGTTGATGTAACTGTCTCCCTCACACTCACACCTCTCCCTCCTTTTCTCTATCTGTCCATTTTTAGACCCACTCGCTGCCCACGGATACCACGCACATTGGCAACGAGCAGCTATGATGGCCAAGCTGCTGGAGGAGGCGCTTTAGGCTGTTCGGTCGTCGCTCGTAGAACCCAACGGATTAGCTCATTGTGATGCTCACTTAAGAAGTCTCAATTGCTTGGCAAGCGAATAACTAAATAAGCTCCATTTATAGATTTTATCCATTGTCAAACAAAGTGTTGTACGAAAGAATTAAGCCATTTTTTAACTAAGCCTCATTCGTTACGCGCTAAAAGAGCGAAAACAGAGAGAGAGCCAGAGAGAGAGAGAGAGAGAGAGGCAGATCTTGCTCTCTGACTCGCAAATTGTATTTGAATAATTCTATATCTCAGGACACGCGGCGTGTCCATATTTAATAGCTGTAAGACGTCTCATTTAAAGTGATACCAAATATACGAATAAACTAACATTCAAACTCAATAATGTCTTAAGCATTCAGTAACTTGACTTTGGTATATTTATTAGCTTGCCTTTGATTGACTTGATTTAGTCACTTAATTTATATATGTATAAATTTTTCACGTTTTGTTTTAATGAGTTTGATTCTTTTATATATTCAAATAATATACATATATCTATATCTATCATATACATATACACA